CCGCCTCGTTGAAGAGCCCGTCGAGTTCTCGAAGGTCGCCCGGATTATAGTCCCAAGATCTGAGCCTTCAACTTCGAAACCACAGAACCAGGATTTACTTGTCGGACCCCGGCAGCCATTCCTAGAAGATCGCCAGACTCTCGCTCAGCTATACGGATTTCTTCTTGGGAAGTGCCGAAGAGCGCAAGAACTTCACCTCTTCACTTTCAGTCACATCATCTCCTCATCTCCGGCATCTACTGTGATTTCGATGCAAGAGAAAATTATTGCAGCAGATTATTGGACTGAAGATTTCCCACTGGGCTCCTTCTGCGCAATCATCCCGGCTCATACGTATATTCCTTACCTTGAATCGATACAAAACGAACCCCAGTCTCTGAATCAACCCCTCAAATCTCTTGACTCTCGATTACAAGCCGCCCTGAAGGTGAAGCATGCGAAAACGAGAGTACGATTGCTGGAACTCTTGACTATACTAGTAGGGTTGAAATTAGAGGGGTTGGAGGGGTATCGGGAGTGAATCCTAAAGTTGGGTTCTGCAGAGAACTTGAACGAGTCTCCTCTTGGGTCGGCAAAGGGTTTCTATCTGCTAAGATATTCACAGTCCGTATGTCACTGTCTCGTAAGTGATCAAATTAAACGATAATTACCTTCGTTCATCGGACCCGCTTGTGGACCTAGGCTCCTTTCAGTTACTTTGCGACGTTTCGAAGGACGAGATTCGGAGGGTTCTTCTGGAATGGGGCGGTCTCTCTTTTTGGACTCTCCTTCCCCTTTGTCTTGGGCGGCTTGTTCCTTGGAAGGGGCATCATCTGCAAGGAGTGGCGTAGAAAGCCGTTGACTATCCTCCGATTCAGCAGCAGTAGCCTAGAAATGATAGGTTTTGTATAAATTGCTGCGTTTTGGGACAACTTACTGGTTCTTTGGTGGTGACCGCAGGTAGGGGTACTTCTGCTCCATTGGCGTTTGGTAACCTTTCTGGCTTTTTCAGCTTGGCTGCGTCGGGAAGTTTCCATCTGAACATCAGTTCCTCGACCTGCCCGTCCAGAACGGGGGACATCAGGAGCCGTTATTTTGGAAGAGTCGCCTTTTGTTTTCTTGCGAGGTGGAAGGTTAACTGTACTATCGGCATCTTCATCATCGTCACTCTCGAGCTCATCTATTTCCTCGGCTAAGGTTCCCTCCTTGAGAATTTGCGTTTTGGACTTCCGTTTCGTTGGAGGTTTCTTGGGCTCATTGGGAGGGTTTGTAGAAGAGTATTTCCGGGGTTTCTTTGCTTTTTCTGATTCGGCTTTCCTAGGTCTGCCTCTTTTGGGTAGTCCATCTGGACCGACATTCTTATACACTTTTTTGCGCGGTTTAGTTGGGCTGGAATTGGCTTTTCTTGCTTTATTAACTTGATACTCGTTGATATGCTTGTCGATATCGTCTTGGTCTTTCCAAAAGATCGATTCGTCGAGATCAGTAAAATTGCCTACGTTGTCCATGTGAATCCAATCCAGCCTTTCATCCGAAAGGTTCTGATCATGAAGCATCTGTCGATAGTGTCGCAATATAAAGTAGCGCTGTCTTCGCATCTTGCCTATTGTCTCCATAACTGTGACAGGGTGAAGGTCCGCTATGTGCCGAGGAGGAACTCGGCTACAGAGCCGTGTAAGCATCTGTTCGATAGTTCTACGGTCAAAGAAACCGAGAGATTGGGAAATATCCTAAAGGAGAGTCAATATCCACACATGGGTAGTCTCAATGATACTCACCTTTATAATCATTCCGTTAGGACTACTCTCAAGTAAACCTATGATTTGCCTTTGCAAAGGCACCATCCTGTTCGGGACATTATCCTCTTCAGGACCTTAAATCAGCTCGTTTTTATCAGGGTAACGTTGTGCCACACCTGTCCATACATACTCCTCCTCTTCAACAGGTGCAAGAAGCATGTAGTCATTCTCCTCAAAATCGACCTGTCTTAAATCTCCTTTCTCCAGATATTCGGCACCCGTTTGAGTTAACTGTACACAAACAGCAGCACCGCGTGTCGTAGGGACGGCAATTTTGTCGATGAGACCCTCTTCTATCATCTCTACCACCCTTGCGGTGAAGAAACGCCGCTGAGTTTTATTCGGTTGTTGATACCCCTGAAGAATCGACCAGATTAGTGACGTGCAAGAAGAGTGAATCAGAGCTAGCGGAGCTTACTGCACCGAGAATGAGGTTGTTGTACTGATGTGTGTAATTGGTGGACCGTTTGAGCAACTTGAGAACGCGATGTCGGAGCAGGGGAACGTTCGCTACCATGTCTCCTGTTGGTAGACTCTCCGAATCAGGTTTATTATCTCCTGCATCCCCTTCACCATCTTCATCATCATCAATGGCGGGCGCTTGGCCTGTCTTGATCCTTTGCCATAGGGGGCTGCTGTCATAGAAACGTCTGTGGACAGCCCAGTTGATACTGGAATAATTTGATACTT